ATGGAGTTAGTTAGTTACGAGTATATGTTACTTTTTTTTTCTTTTTTCAAAATACCATACAGTTGGTATTCAGAAGTGTATTACTAAAGATGTAGTAGTAACACTCCTGTAACTCAAAGCAGACTTTCAGTACTGCTGATAACAAAGACCACAATTTGACATGATCCATCTCCTATGCCGACAGCATATTTCCCTAATACGTCTTAATACTGGCCATGCAAGTCGCCGCTTTTCAAGCGGTATCCTCACCATTAGATCAGGCCTGCCCAGCCTTTTTTGTTGTGCGGGCAGCATCGGAAAGTTTTTATCTGCATGCCGACAACGTGAAGTATGTGGAATGTATACTAAAACATAATGTAGCGTTGCTGGGGCAGCGGATTCTTATTAATCAGGGTTATGCAACCCGTTTCTGGGTGACGCGACCATATTCCCGCGGAAACGGTTAGCATACGAGAATGAATGGTGTTTTTCTATGCGGTCCGTGCCGAGGAAGACAGTTGGGGCAACCAAGTCAGTTCTGTACGGGAGTCTGTGAAGAAGAGAGGCAGTTGGAATGGAGCTGCCATTTAGAGAGGACTGCAGCGCATGAAGCCGAAGAATCACCACAAATATAAACCGTTGCCAGGGAACGGCTGGTGAATACACAACAAGCTGGAAAAGACTTAGCGAGTGCTGTGGTGATTTGTGAATTGTGGAGATTAGCGATGGGGCTGTAATTACATGTAATCACGAGTCGAGTTGTAAAGCGGTCAATAAATCCAGTATCCAATCCAAAACCCCGTCGATAGTGACTCTTTCACGTGAAATTATAATTTCATATATAATTTTATCTGTATTTTCGATAGATTATACACAGTAAAATATGGTATGAGAAAATATAAAAAATGCAAGTCACAGTTTAGGCTAGGGTCTATTTGTAGCACATTTTTGCAAAATGAATTAGTAATGTATGTCCCCATAAATAAAATACTCATAACATTTTTAAAATTCACGTATTTTCGTAATGTAAAACATAAAGGAAAACAAAACAAATATAAAAAAAATGCATTCTTCTGGGATATGGCGCCGTGTAGATCTTATGTGAACCGACGTTGCGTAGGAACATATCGCCTCCATCTTCAGGGTAGAAAAATTCGCGAGCGAGGAACCAGCGTGAGCAGGTGGCTGCAGACTGGTTCCTCGCTCACGGATTTTTCTACCCTGAAGATGGAGGAGATACATTACTCCGAAACGTCGGTTCACACAAGATCTACATGGCGCCACATCCCAGAAGATGGCATTCTTCATAGTCACAGCTGTGAAAACCTCAAATCTTACAAAGCAAATATAAACTGATAAAGCTGAAACTATCCCTGTAAAAGGCCATGGAGGCCCATAGGGTTGTGAGTAGTCGAGGCTCTCACATTATGTAGACAGTTGGCTCACAGATGGCGGTGAGGTTGTGAGCCTTATGCGCCAGACACCCTTAACCCCCAAGAAGATTCCTGGTACTCATTTCTGTTAGAGGCTTTGTTAACCTCAGGGCCATATTGCGGCAGGAAGAATTAGATCAATTGAAGAATCCAGTAACCTCGTCGGTAATCGGACCCGCTACCTTCCAGCTTGTAGCTTAGTGCCTCAACCAACTACGCCATTCACATACTAATTTTGATTTTGTCATAAGTACTATAAAAGGAGAATGTATTGAGTAGTCATAAGAAACATGAAAATGGCAGATTAACACATATCAAACCCACATAACAAGTCATATAGTTTGCTTTATTCTATTGAAGAAAGGCAGTGTGAGTATATGTGATTTTTTGTGAGAAGAATGGTCCCTGCAAAGAAAGTTATGGAATAATTATGATACTTGACATTGCACTTCATGAGCTAACTTGTAGTTAGGGGTGTATTTGGTAGTAACCACTCCTATACAACCATTTAAATATTTATCAGTTAATGATGATGTGTGCATTGACTTTAGTATTTTCATTGTTGAAAACGCTTATTCTCTCCTATGTGGAACTGAAACATGCACTCCGCTTTACCGACAAGAATTAAATGTGATAATCGTACTTGACACTGCATCTCTTGATTGATGAAGTACTTATTCTCCAATTTTTTATTAAAATTTTATGCATACACAGTGTGTCTAGGTTTTGTTAGACTGTGTTCATTAAAAATACAAGACGTGAATTATTTTCAAAATTTCACTCTTTTTATTCAAAATAGTCTCCTTCTGAATCAATACATAGCTGGAATTGATTGAACAGTTTTCGAAAACGGTCACTTTTGTGGAATCGTATTTAAAACTGCGGTACATTCCTTTGGATGTCCTGGATGGTGTCGTGAAGGTCTCTTTTCATCGCCAACTTAACTTTTGGGAACAACCAGAAATCTGCTGGAGCCAAATCTGGCGAATACGGAGGATGATCAAGGACTGTGATCCCTTTTCTGACCAAAAAATCGCGAACGATCTTCGATTTGTGGGGTGGGTCATTGTCGTGGAGGAGCGACCAGGAACCTTGCTCTCAATATTCAGGTCGAATTCGAAGAATTCTCGCCCACAAAATATTGAGGACTCCGAGATAATAATCAGAATTCACTGTTTGACCTTCTGTCCGAAATTCCTTGTGAATGATTCCTTTTGAATCGAAGAAAACGGCTAGCAGTGTCTTTACTCTACTCTTTTGCATGCGAACTTTCTTTGGTTTCGGCTTCTTCGGGCTCAACGGCGCTGCACTCTGCCGCTTTGTGAGAGACTCATATCGAAAACACCATGTCTCGTCACCAGTAACAATCGATTTTGTAAATTTTGTATCACTTTGGGCCGACCGTAACATGTCTTTGCAGTGTTCCACTCTGGCATGTTTCTTATCGCCTGACAGCGCGTGCGGTACAAACCGCGCACAGACCTTCCGTTTGCCCAAGTCCTAGGTAAAAATTTGATGCACAGTATTTTTTGGTATTCCAAAAAGCTCCTCGATAGTACTTCAGTGCGACTTGTTCTCGGCTTTGATGCACGTGGAGCGTCTTCAATGTGCTCCATGCCGTCACGAAATACAGCATACCATCGAAAAATATTCGAGCGACTCAACAATCGCTACCGTACACACTTTTCATAATTCGTACGCTTCTCCGGCTGTTTTGCCTAACTTCAAACAAAATTTGATATTGGTTCTCTGTTCAGCCGCCATTTTCCGACGAGGGTCAGAACAGTACTGTTACATTCAGGGTCAGAACACATGATGCAGCGATTCTTGAGCTTTGAAATTATAGACAGCCACAGCTGAAACTTCAAGAATCTTAACGCCACAACTCGCCAACAGATGGCATTGCAGGGCAAAATTTAAAAAAATGAGTCCTGACGGATCCTGGACACACCGTGTATGTTCCCAATTTATTTTAACTATCACTGTCATTTTCTTTTCCTCCCAGTAAAGTCTTCAAATGTAAAACTTCTGTGTCTAAAATGAAAACCACAAGACAGCCACTTAAACATTGGCCTTGAAACATATTGGTGTACGAAGAGTTAGGGCTGGCCCATCCTATACTGCAAACTGTAACGTTCGAGTGGTGGGTCCGAGTGCGAAAATCATAAAACACTAAAAGCTAGAGATTTTCTGAATCATCTGTCATGTTCCATATGACATGCATTTTATCTTGGGTTTGGTCCTGTGCACAGTAAGACCGACAATGAAGATGCTAGAAAGAAACCGCTACAGGTGTCTGCACATCTGCAAATCTGTAACTGGAAAACAGCCTTGTAAAAATATGTGTCTCCATTTGCCGACATAGTTATTGTAATCGAGGCTAAGAACTGCCTCTAACTATAAGGTTCATGATAGGGTCACTTGGGAATGTGGAAGTTTTCTTTCATAATTTGCCAGTAAATGGGTGGAATTACTCTGATGTTCTTTCACGCCATTGCCAGGGAAAGGGTTGAAAGATGTTTTCTTATTTCAAATGTCTTAATGGGCAACTTAATACTGCTGGAAAGCTGCAGGCTATACCTGCACTCCTTACACCTTGGGATTCTGAATTGAATTAAAAGCATCAGTCACAACTTTCAATTAAATTCCTGCATAATTCAATAACACTGATGTTTCTAAATGTCATTAACATATACTTAAAATTTTATAAATATGTTTATTCATCATTTTACTCTAGAATTTGTAAGTCATGCGCAGAACAGAATAACTTTTTTTAATGACCTTGGTTGAATGAAGTACTGATAATTTGTTTGCTTCCACAGAATTCACGTTCGACCGTGTTCATATTTTAGAGTTTGCATACTTGTTGCTGTGGTTACTGTTACTGCTGGTGCTGTAATGTTTCCAAGTGTTACAGTTGTTAGTGTAAGTTACAGTGGTTACTGAATTTCAGTAATGGTGCCATAGTTGCTTCTACCTCACAAATTCGTGCATCCCACACGTTACCATTACCGATTGTAGGAAACTAAAGTATGAGTTTTAGAAGTTCTTCAGTGGCATAACATTAATATCAAGTTTTATTACAATCCATTAAGCAGTTCTCAAATTGAAGCATGCCAATGGGCAGAGAGGGAAACCCTACCCTTCCTATATTCATTTCTTGCTTGCCAGTTGTGCCAAGACTTCATAGTAAACATAGAAGTTTTAAATGTTTTAAATGAGTACAACGCATGCAGTAACAGGAGCAAAACACAACACAGAACACGATACACAAATGTATGTAGGAGAATGCTCACATAAAAGAGGATTGGCATAATTCGCATGTTTGAGTGCGACGTAGGATGAATCCTGAAAAGTTTTATTACTTAGAATTCATCGACATATATGACGAATACAGATTTTAGTCATTTTAGAATGAAGACATCATGGCTTGCAGTACAATAGTTTAATGTGCATAAAGACACCTGAGGATGGCACATTAGTGCTGAAACATATAGTGTGGAAGTGAAGAATAAGGTGAAAAAGTGTATACACCGTAAAACGGTTAGCATAAACCATGGACATAGAAGTTTTATTCTGTGCTTGTAGAAATCGGCTGAACCATAGGTATGATGGCGATGCCCAGCCAGCAACACCTTCAGCAGCAGCAATGTTCACCACCACATCCCATGCCAGAATTCCGTGATGCTGACCACTATCGCAGTGCCCTCAGCCCACTCTGCATCACCGATGGCAGTCATGAGATCATCCGGCCCAAACCTCGCAGGTAACATGCCTTGTTTGCAAGGCTGTAAACACTTCATTTTTTACCTCATAACAACCTTTTGGTCAAGGAAACCTGTAGCTTATCTCCAGCTAAACATGTTATTATTTTGTGCTCATTCATTTCTGAGATTTTGCACCCTTCATCTTCAGGACACCAGGTCTGTTTTTATATAGCTGTAGAATTGTGGATAATTCTTCTGTTTTTATAATTAGAATGAGAGAACTGCCCCCTTAAGCCAAGCTAGTACTTATGGTGAGAAAGTGCAAAGTCAGAGTTAAAGCCCAACACATCTGGTTATGAATGACACAGCCAGTACGAAATAGGTAAGGGGGTGGCAGCAGGTACCCGAGACCATAATGCTGTGTAGGCAATATTGGTCTGTGTACCCCCCTCCCCAGTTTCAATATTTGAATTGTTTCATCGATTTTCATGAAATTTGGTATCAGAATTATGGCACTTAAGGACAGCCCTATGCCATACTTTTGAGCTTACTATAATGAGCATTAAAACATGGTGGTATTGGCATGAATTCATGAGGCAGGAGCCATAATATTACCACTGACGTTTGGTTTTGCATCAGACCACTGTGTATCCCTCTAAATACTCTTGCAGCGCTTGGTCTGGTTGTTAGGTTAGATTAGATTAGGTTGGCTCATCAGAGTACTGTGCAACTATGTGCACATGTACCAGTGCACTAGGACAGGTGAGTCAGATTGGGTTGGGCTGGGTTTGGTAGGAGCTTCAGACCACCTTGTGTCCGTCTATGCATGAAGTGGCACATGGCAATGCTGAAAAGTTTACAAACTAAGATAGTTTTAAATATCTCCCCACAATTTAAAAAAAAATCAGATTTTAGAAACATTCATTAGTTTATAAATTGCTGAAATTTTTGAACTTCCGAAATTTCAGAATTTTCTGAAATTCGGATCACAGAAGTTATTGAAAATGTTCTTGTATTTTGATTCTTTGAAATTAAGCACATTTTAATATGTTCTAAAATATGTCATTTTTTTAAATTTCTTAGAATTTTATTTTATTTTTTAATTCTGGGGAAATGCTCAATTTATTGACATTTAGAAATCAATTGCATTTTTTATATTTTTTAAATGTTACTTATTAAATTTTCAAAGATAAATCCACTGAGCACTCATCCAGTGCATGTCACTTTATATCAGTCTTAGCATTCACCTAGGGTTGACTTAACAGGTCTGGTGTATGTGTGATTGTGTTATGTTGCTCACTGTTTGACAGATTTACTCACTGTTTGTCACATAGCTCAGAAGTGTTTAGATATGACCTGGAGTTATTGCATATTGTAATTTTTATATTTGTTATTGATTCCTTCATTTCATTTGGATTAATTGAACTACTTACAAGATACACAGAATTACTGGGTTTTTGGACTTTTTCCATTGCCTGGAATTCTAGGTAACAGAGGACATGGCGTTTCAGAAACTGGATCTGTTTCCACCTTCAGATGAGAAAGGAAGACACATACTCAGTTGGGCACCTTAGAAGGAGCTAATCTCAATCACTACAGTTTCCAAAACGTCATGTCCTCTATTACCTAGAATTCCGGACGATGGGAAAAGTCCAAAAACCCAGTAATTCTGTGTGTCATCCACCATCATTAGAACCCTTTAGAATGTACTTACAAGATGTTATCCAACATTTTAACATGCAAATATGCACACCATATATACACATGTAAGCCTATAACGCTGTATGAGAGAACCTGGATTTTGTGGAAAATTGTAATTATATAACACATTTAAAATGAAATTCACTTGCTGTCTTTGCACTGAATAAAACATACATTGTACTCATTACTATATGGATTTGACAGAAAGTTATGCTGTATTGTTGGACGGGTAACATTAATATGTACATGACCTTCAGCATGTGGTCAATGGCCAGTGAATTAGGTAATTTATTATTTTACGATGCAGCTCATATTATTCACATCACAGATGTCAATTAATTTCTAAAATTTCCATAAGAAGATAGTGTCGTCATCTAGGTACACCACTTAGGTAGTTATAATTTTTCTTACCAGATGGCATCTCAGTAACTTTGGTCAGTTTATGGTACATTTCTTCCATTTTATTGTGTTCACTGCTATAGTCTTCAAATCATTCAGACAATTCTATGTTGGAAAATCAGTTGCGATTCCCTTTGGATGTGAGTCTCTGTTTCAAAATATCGTCCCTTCAGTTTCATTTTCAATTTTGGAAGCAAAGTGAATCACGGGGGGTTAAGTCCGGTGAACAGGGAGGATGGGGATTGATAACCATGTTGTTAGTCACAAACTTCTTCTCTTTGAAGGAAGCCCAGCGTCTACCGTCTTGTGGTTCTGTTGTTTGGTACGTAGGTGGTAGACGCTTGGCTTCCTTCAGAGGAAAGAAACAAAGAGGACATGAACCAATTTGGTTTAAAAAAATTTAACAAAATCTTCTTAAACATACTAAAGTTTTGAGAGGTTTTCACGGTGATGACTATGAAGAAAGTCATTTTCTGGGCGCCAAAACCCAGAAGACGACTTTCTTCATACTAATTGTAATTTATAAATATTTTAACATATTAGTACAAGCCGCTGTGGTTATTAAAAACACTGGATTTTGTACTCATTGTATTGTGATGGCATTGTACCTGTATACGTATGTATTAATATTCAGAAAACATATTGTAGTAGTGGTTTCTAATTGTATTGATATCCTTCTGAGTATGCTCTATAAGACCGAAACATGTTAAGGATAAAATATTAAAAAGGAGAACAAAAACTTCATCAGCCGCACTGGGCAGAATTAATTAACATTTTATAATATTGTTAGTGTGACCAACCAGGATGAAACAAATCAAACCTGTGTGCAGAAATTCCATTAGGAAATCACTTAGAAAGTAACTGCCTTGAAGACCAAGAAAGGGGATATCAGAGAGATGGGTTGTGAGAGGTGGACAAAGAGGCTCAGGATTTTGACTGAATTTGGACTGTGGTATCAGTAATGTTGAACCTTCAGAGATAGTCAGGAAGTGATATTTTCATGCAGCAGGAATTGCTTTTCCTCACCCTTCAGTTTCTTTACTTTTTGCTTGTAAAATCTGAAGAAAACTCAAGTTATGTGCATGTGACATGCCTCTTATTGTGGTGTTACATGCAGGTGTGGGTTCTATGCTGCATATAAACATTTCATCTTTGTACAGCCTTGGGAATGGGGTTAAAGAGAAGTGGTCTGGTTTCTGTGTGAGCTGTGATAATTGTGCTGGAATCGCCCATTGTGTGCCTTGTTGGGAACTACACTTGAAACTTCTGTATTGTCAAAACGTTAACCTCTGTAACCTGTGGAAAAGAGTATTGTAGTGAGACATTTAAATTGAAGTAGAAGAATACAGATTTACTGTAAAATTAATTAAAATCTAAGTGTAACAGGGAGAAATTAAACATGGTATCTTGTATTCATACTCTACTGATTTCAAGTCTCTCAGGGCTGTGACTATATTTATCGAGATTTTCGAAATGTTTTTCTCATTTCTTACATGAACATGATGAATGATACTGAAAATTCAAACAAAAATATTGTGACATGTTGAGCTCTGAATGTTTACAGTTTACAAACAAATGTCATGGAACTACTCCTTGAGGCTTCTGTGTGAGATACCATTATATATACATTACTGTCATCGTCATCATCACCACCACCCCTGCCCCCACCAGTGCTACCGTCAACCGCCGCCACTGCCACTGCCACCTTTTTCTATTCAAGCAAGTTTTTACTGCTGAACACAATATGCACCAAGTTCTTTATGTACTGGTATATTGTAAATTTAAATATGTTCTTTCCTCAAGACTAAAGTTGTCAGATAATGAAGCTGCACTCACAGCCAAGTAGTAATGAGGAGACGATGCTTGGACCTCTACCTCCAATCCCCTATGACATATTCATGATATGGTTTTTACCCACAGGAACAGTTCTTCTTTTATAATAACTGCATATGAAACTTTTTTGTGCTGTTGCTGAAGACTCCAGTGGAAGGCAAAGTGTTTGAACTGTGTATACTTGATTTAGGTATTGTATCAGTGCAACATCAATCAACTGAAATGCAATTTAGATGTTTGCTTGTTAAACTTTAATGAAATGTGATACAGGTACACTTGTAGATCCTATAACTCCAAACAGAAGTTTAAGTTTGTACATTTTTTGGATCAGTGGTTTTTGACTCAGAGTGATCCCAAAATATGAAGTTTGATCAACATTTCGCCCACTGGTTACTGGATGTAATTGAACTTCGTGAAACCTACAGTACTGAAAGGTGTATAAATTTAAAACTCTTGAAATTAGTTTCATAATGAAATATGACATGTTTTTAAGCTAGTAATATATCAAGATCACTTACCTTGAATCTCATAAAGTTCATTAGATTAAACTGTTTTTAAGGAAACATTTTCATTGGCGCCAATTGCATTCATTTCAAATTTCATCTTGTGATCTCAATTCACTTATGTACACCTCGGTGAATTTTTCTCATAGCACTTGTGTCTGTTTATTTTTCATGTCTTCTCACAGTTATGAAAGGGAAAGAGAAAATATAGTGGCTATGACAACAGTTCTTCCAGTTTCATTTTTTCTAGGTTACTTGCCCGCCAGCAAAGGTACATTATTAGATTATGGTGCAAAGAAACTGTCCTGTTTTGTGGTACCACTGAAAATGTAATCTGAATGTGATGTCATTTAGAGCCTGCAAAAAAATTTGGAGACCCTAATTGAAATCATTATTAAAACATCTATTTTTAGATGATTTTAATCATATAAATATTTTGGAATTATTTAAAGTATAATCGATATGGTCTTGATGTTTAATGGACTTAGGAATGTAGCCATTCAAGTATTACTCAGCAGGTTACAATTTGGATCATTTTTTCACATTTTATAATTCAAGAACACTCATTCAAAACTTTGAAAGCTGAGACGCTGTGACCTTACAACATTTAATGGAAATCCATT